TCAAAGTGGGAAATTAAGGATGCTCGAGTTATGACTTGGATCCTAAGTTCGATTGAGCCTCACCTTATTCTGAATCTGAGGCCTTACAAAACTGCTGCTGATATGTGGAACTATCTTAGTAAAATTTACAAACAGGACAACACGGTTCGACGATTCAATTGGAATATGAGATGGCTAATTTTACGCAGGGAAGTCTCTCGATTGAAGAATACTTCTCAAGTTTTCAAAACCTATGGGCTAACTATTAAAATATAGTTTATGCTAATGTTCCTGTTGCCGCTTTATCTGTTGTTCAAACTGTGCACGAGACAAGTAAGAGGGATCAATTGCCGATTTTGAGACTGCGCGATCTAATCTGATGAATCGTCATCATGTCCCATCTCTGGATACTTGTTTGGGTGAACTTCTTCGTGAGGAGCAACGTATAGTTACTCAGGCTACCATGGAACATAGGATTCTGTTAGTGCTCCAGTTGTCGTGGCTTATGCAGCACAGGGGAAGCACAAGGGTCGGGACATGCGTGCTATAGTTGTAAAGCTTTTGGTCACCTTTCTCGAGATTGTCCTAAGAAATACTGTCATTACTGCAAGAAACAAGGTCATTACATCTCTATTTGTCCCATTCGGCCTGACAAGAAGCTTACCACTGCCTATCATACCTCGACTGGTGCCTCTAGTTTTGCGACTTTGCCTACCTGTGTCCACTCTCACTCCTGAAATGGTACAACAAATGATCAATTCTGCTTTCTCTGCTTTTGGACTCTCAGGTAATCATACACCCTCTTCTAAGCCATGGTTCTTTGATTCCGGAGCCTCTAATCATATGACCAACTCCATTATTCCTCTTTCCAATGTCAGAGAATATGATGGCACTCTAAAAATTCACACCCCTAGTGGCAGTTCTCTGCCTATTAGCGCTGTTGGTGATCTTTCCTCTTCTTTAAATAATGTTTTTGTGTCTCCTCATCTCTCTACAAATTTAATTTCGGTTGGTCAATTAGTTGATAGTAATTATGATGTTCATTTCTCTCGTTCTGGTTGTGTTGTGCAGGATCCGGTGTCCGGGAAGACGATCGCGAAGGGGCCTAAAGTGGGACGACTCTTTCCCTTACATCCTTCTCCTTTCC